AGGAGGGAGTGCCGTCGCGTGCCGTAGAGAGAGAGAGCGGTAGGGTAGGAGGGAGTGCCGTCGCATGCCGTCGCGTGCCGTAGAACCCGAGACGGTTGAGGAGCCCGCCCCTTCGAATGGTGGGCACATATACAGCACTTCGAAGGGCGATTTCAGAAGGGCCATTTGGGCGGGCCGAACTGTTATCGCACGGCCCAGATTGCGGGCCGGTCACCACCTGCGGACGGCCCAGATCGCAGGCCGATGAGAAAAAATTATCATCGGCCTGCGATCTGGGCCGTCCGCGGGTGGTGACCGGGCCGCAACCTGGGCCGGTAGATATGACGTTAGCGATTCTTATAGTATTGTAGATGTAGATTGTCTGATCCAATGACTGATTTGACACACATGTGGATGAAGGCCAGAAAATGTAGTCCTCAAACAGTTCCCTTGCATTGTCTGGGATTGATTACTGTATGGGCTTAATATTTTCTTCCACTGTCTCTTGCTTGTCTGTGCGATGTTGTGCTGGATAATTGCAGGGTTGTGGGAAGAACAGGCGAAGGAGAAAGCTAGATCGCAGCCAGTTTGTAACTTCGCCGAGGGAAAGTCGTTGAATGAAGTTTTTGCTGCTGTCACTTCATGCTTTTGCGTGTCTGCGTGACTCTTGTGATCGTGAAAGTGGGACAGCGGAGGGTGGTTGTAGGCATGGTGTCTGGCGTCTGTGGCTCGGCTTCCATCCGCATGATCTCCACAGAGAGTTATCATCCAGTGCTGTGGCAGGTTTGTGGGTTTGGCTTTCTGTTATCTTGACCTTTTTAGGAAGTGGAATTACAAGTGGTAGTCTTTTCACATCTCTATCACAATCACCTTCAGTATTCCACAAAACATAGACTCATAGAGTATTGAGAGAAAGGATTGAGAGAAAGGATTGAGAGAAAGAAATAGGATGGGCAGTTTTCTTCGGAGTAGATGAGAGGCATTTGCTAGAGAAGAAGCCCGTCATTGACACTACGAGTCACCCTTTTTTTTCCTCACTATGTGACCCACGGCATTTGTAGAAAGCAGAGTCTCTGATAGAGTAATGTATGCATGGCCTTTTGTCTTATCGTCTACTCATAATTTCCCTTTTAGCAGGAACGACCGAGCTGTTTTATATTTCTTTTCCTAGCAGGAGCAATGGATGGATTGTCATATATAACAGGGAGGGGAAGAGTACTCATGGGTCGGAACTGTCGAAAGGGTTGGGAGGAAAACAACTGAACAGAACAGGGATGACCGATGTGGGTTTTCAAAGGGAACGGCTATTCATTTCCATAATGGTCTACATTAGGGTGTTTTTTTTCCTCTTCCTTCTTTGCTTCTCAGGAGTTTGATGCCTCTTCAGTGTGGTTCAATTCTTGAAGGCTCGGTGTTGCTGAGACTGCTCAATGTCTGGCTGCAATTTCAAAGACCGGTTTGATCTTGCCTTGGGATGATTCTGTGTATTTCCTCTCGGATTCTGCAAGTGAGGGCGCCGTGCTACATGGTTTGCCTTGCTCCCTTGTGCCTAACCTGCCTCCCATCTCCAGCTTGCAGTTCACTAAATGGAGGTCTGATGGTACTTCCTAGGCTGAAACATCAATAAAATAAATAACCTCAGGGGGGAGAGAGAGAGAGAGAGAGAGAGAGAGAGAGAGAGATCGTTATCATGAATGTGTGTGGTTTTCTGTTTAGAAGGGAAAATGTATCGGACAGGGTTTGAACTGTTGATTTCTTTGTCAAAGGACTCCAAACAGTTTCAGCGACAAGATACACAAGGTACAGTATAGTCTATTGCGTTTTTTTTCCCTTATAAAAGGGGTTTTATCCCTTGAAATAATATAAAATTCATCTAATTCTGTCAGGATTCAAACCCATGAGCAGCTTGCTAGCGGGGTACAGTCTAGGCATCCGACAGGGTTTGAACTCTCGATTTCTCTGTCAAAAGACTCAAAACAGTTTCAGCGACAAGGTACACAAGGTACAGTATATTATATTGCGTTTTGTTTTCCTCATAAAAGGGGTTTATCTCTGAAATAATATAAAATTCATCTGATTCTGTCAGGATTCAAACCAATGAGCTGCTTGCTAACGGGGTACATTCTAGGCATTTTATGACTGCAAAGTTGCAAACCCCAAAGTATGGCAATCCATTGAATCCAAGCCATTGGAGTGACATTCACTGTGACAGCTCACCTCTCTCCACTACTCAACACTCAACACATATCTGGACTGTTTATGAACCGTATCAGGCATGAACAGAGCTGAATTTGAGAGTGGGGAGGCTGTGTGGTTGCTACCAGGAGTGGGAAAACCCTGGCCATATTCTAGGTATTGGGCTGGGTGTGCCCACAAGTTTTTCTTTACTTTGGAAGTGGTAGGATACGTGGTGAAGAGATATCTGGTTTCTGGGGTATTGGACTGCGGAAAGACAACATGAGGAGATCAATCAGAGGATATGGAAGTAAGAAGTCATGATGAATGGGGGCAACTCCGAGTCCTGGTAACGAGTACGCTATTCGCACTCCGCAGGCATTCTGCCTTTCAGCAGGTGTCAAGGTCTATCTGACCTGCCTTGGCGACTATGACGTTTTGCACCGGCTGAGGCACAAAGTCGAAGTCTTGGTTTCGAAGGCCGAAACAGCAAGTCACACTGAGTACGAGTACAGCAGCAGAAAACTGGTACGAAACTGGTCCCCGTACCGTACGGGGAGCCGGTATAAGTACCGGTGACACGTACGGTACCAGGGGCATTTCTGCAAAGGCCCGGAGGGCAGAACTGAAAAATGCGGTATCTGAAAGTGGTTCCCGAATTGCAGCATGGCGCCAGTTGTCCAAAATCCTATGGTACCAAAGGAGGGGTTTGGAAAAAGGGTGCCAGGCCGAAAACGGGATGCAGCCGAAACAGCAAAAAGATAGACCAGGGATCGAGCCCTGGCGTAGTCCGTAACACTATCCCCTCCCTCTAGAAGGCAACGTCCCGGCTGCCAAAAATCGTGAAGCAATGCTGAAATCTTTGAAGGACGGGACGGGGCCGATGACTGGTTAACAAGTCGAAAGGGAAGAGAGGTATAATGTGGGTGGCATGGGCTGCGTGAGTAAGAGGGGACAGGGTTTGGTACCGGTGAACAGAGTTGTCCTACTGATGAACTAGGGGGGTTGCAGGGAACAGGGTAGTCCTACAAATGAACTATATGGACGGCAGGGAGCAGGGTAGTCCTACTGATGAACTAAGGGGGCTGCATGGTTTGCTATAGGTTAAGGGGGAACAGAGTTCAGGGAACAGGGGACTTCTATTGAAGTTCTACTGGGTAAGGGAAACAATGGTTAGGGAAACAGGGATCTGCTAATGATGAACTAGGGGTGCTGCAGGGGGAACAGGGTAGTCCTATAGATGGTTGACAAGGGTGAAGAGGTAAAAGGGTTTCCTATTGATGATCTACAAGGGAGAGCAGGTAACAGGGTTTCCTATGGATGTTCTACAAGGGTGAACGGGTATTTCTGTGGAAATTCTACAGGGTTATAGGTTGTCGGGGGACGAAAAAAAATAGAAAAATAAAAAAATTGTTTGTTGCAAGGTTCAAGGGCACAGTTTGCATGTACAAGGGCTGGGATGTTTGATGGGATGTGGGTACAGAGTCGGAGGTCTGTAATGGGTCACGGGGTCTGGGGGAGGTCTTCAAGTGTCTTGATCGGCAGCAAGAAGGGGTCTTCGGGAGTCTTGAGCAGTCCCAGGTCAGCGGCAGCAATAGGGGTCTTGAAGGAGGTCTTGGTCAGGTCGATGATGGAAGCAAGGCGAACTGCAAAGGTCTTGGTCAGGTCGATGATGGAAGCAAGGCGAACTGCAAAGGTCTTGGTCNGTCTTGGTCAGGTCGATGATGGAAGCAAGGCGAACTGCAAAGGTCTTGGTCAGGTCGATGATGGAAGCAAGGCGAACTGCAAAGGTCTTGGTCAGCGGCAAGGGGGGGTCTTCAATGGTCTTCAGCAAGGAGAAACAAGATGCTGAGTGTTGACGCGTGGAAAGTCAAGAGGTCCATGTCCGATGGCTGTGGGCACGTCCGGTACATGATCTGCAGTGGAGTCTGATCCGGTAGCAAGGAAGTCCCAGACTGTTACATGGTTCCATGTCACAAGTAGCTGCTCCAGGGAGTCTGCGAGGCAGGGTGCCGGCCAGGTGTAGCATTATGGTGGCCAATCCAGCTGCATAATCTCCATGAACAGTGGTGCAGAACCCATCGTCCTCGTGCTCATGCCATTAGATCCTTTATCATCGGCGTCACACAGGTCCACAAGCATTGGACAAGATGGACAAGGAAGTGGGGAGGGCGAATGGGGCAGGGCTAGGCAAGGGACAAGGGCAGATCAGACATCAGGAATCGGGATCAAGGGCAAGGGTGGCTGTGGCAGGGGTGTGTGTAGAACAAGGTGGTGAGGTTGTAGCAGGGTTTAAGCAAGGGTTCAGGGTTTTAGCCAAGGTATAGGTGGGGGGATAGCTAGGATGCAGGGTGGGAACGATCATAGGCACGGACAAGTCTCATGGCATTCTCGAGATTTTCAAGGGGTTCCCATGTTGATTCTTCATCCGGGTAGCCTGTCCACTTGACTTTGTATTCTTTGATTGGTTCCGGGTGATCAGCGACTTGGGTTGTTCTACAACCAATGATGGATTCCACGGAGAATTCAGGTCCAGTGGGGAGCATGATAGGAGGGGGACGAGGGTGAGGGCGATCAGAGAACTGTGGCGGGGATTCATGGTATTCTTTGAGGTACTCGACATGGAAGACAGGGTGGACACGGCTCATGTCAGGGGGAAGCTGGAGTTTGTAATTAACGGGGGAGGTTTGTTCAATGATGGGGAAGGGACCGAGCCACYTKTTTGAGAGTTTCTTGGACRAGYCCTGTTCGGGTTCAAAGCGTYTGGYGGAGAGCCAGACCTTGTCCCCKACTTGGAAGGTGATATCACGGCAATGCTTGTTGGCTTGTTTAGCTTGTTGTTCCTGGGTGTGTTGGATTGACTCGGTTGCTTCTCTTAGGAGACGGTTCATTGTTGCAACCCATTCATTGAGAGAGGGGCAGGGGGAGGATGGGTTGAGTTGAGAGGGGAGCAAGAAATCAGAGGGCAAGCGAGGGTGATAGTCGAGGTCAAGGTAAAAGGGGGACATGTCGGTGGCAGGGCAAACGGCATTGTTGTAGGCAATCTCGGCGGCGGTGAGCAACTGATCCCAATCATGCTGGTGGGGATGACAATACTTCCGCAGGATTCTTTGGAGAGTATCGTTCATCTTCTCGGTTTGTCCGTCGGTCTGTGGGTGGGATGCAGTGCTGTACCTGAGCGTGGTTCCGTAGGCATGGAAGAGTTGTTTCCAGAATTGGGAGAGGAAGCGGGGGTCGCGATCACTGATGATATTCTCGAGGAGGCCGTGGTGTCGGGCGACATGGTCGAAGAAGAGAATGGCAAAGTCTTTGGCATTGTGCGAGGTGGTACAAGGAATTAAATGAGCACGTTTGGTCAGGCGGCAAACAATGACGTAGATGCAATCATGCCCGCAGTCGGTCTTGGGAAGACCGCACACGAAGTCCATGGAAACGGACTGCCATCGGTGCGTGGGGATGGGCAATGATTGGAGCTTACCGGGTTTGGCCCGGTTCGAGGGGTTGACAGYYTRACATGTGGGGCACGAGCGGATGTAGGCTTTGACGTCGGCAAGGATAGAAGGCCAATGGAAATATCGGGAGATGGTGTCAAAGGTTTTATGAAAACCAAGGTGGCCAGCGGTCTTGGCGTCGTGGTGCTCGTGGTGCTCGGCCAAGAGCTGGGTGCGGAGGCCACGGGCGTCAGGGATGCAGAGTCGGCGAGTGCCTTTGGTCTTGACGTACAAGAGATTGTCATGTAGGGAGTAGTCGGGGACGGGGTCGAGGTCGCGGAGTTTGTTGTAGATGGTGGAGAAGTTGGGGCAAGAGAGGTATCCTTGGGTGTAGCGATGGCGGAGCGATGGCAGGAGATGGATGTGGGTCATGGCGGCATAGACTTTCTCGGGGGGTTTGTGATCGGGGCGGCGGGAGAGGGCGTCGGCAACGCGGTTGCTCTTGTCAGGGGTGTGACAAATGGTAAAGGTAAATTGGGCAAGGAAGTCTAGCCAGCGAGCTTGGCGAGGGGTGATGTCTTTCTTGGTCAAGATGGAGGAGACGACAGTGTTATCGGTACGGATGGTGAAGTATTGCCCGTCGAGGTACGGCCATCAGACTTTGAGGGCGTAGACCACGGCGAGGAGCTCCTTCTCGTTGGATGGGTAGTTCATTTCTGCGGGAAGGAGTTTCTTGTTGGCGAATGCGATGGGGTGCTCGCCGAGTGGGCATTGGGAGTGGGTGGGGGAGTCCTTGATGGAGGGGGTTTCCGCAGGGTCGGGGGGAAAGTGCTGGGATAAGACGGCCCCGATGGCAAAGTCGGAGGCATCCGTGGTGACGAAGAAGTCGTGAGTGGGGTCGGCGATTTTGAGGACGGGGGCAGTGGTGATGAGCTCCTTGAGTTTGTCGAAGACGGCTTGGCGGTGGTCTGTCCAAGCGAAGGGGTCGGTGGCACGGGTGAGCTCATGGAGAGGGTAGGAAACGTCGGAGAAGTTGCGGATGAAGGGGCGGTAGTAGTTGGCGAGTCCCGTGAAGGAGCGAAGTTGGGTTAAAGTGGTGGGAGGGGGGAACTCGACAAGGGCAGAGACCTTTTTGGGGTCCATGCGGATGCCGTCGGCGGAGACAATGTGACCAAGGTATTCTACGCTAGGGGCAGCAAATGTGCATTTGCTGAGCTTGGCGTATAATTTCTGGTCGCGGAGGATGGCGAGAACTTGGCGGAGATGATCAAGGTGGGACTCGAAGGTGGGGTTAAAAACAAGGATGTTGTCGAGGTAGATCACGACACAGACTTCGAGGAGGTCGCGGAAGATGTGGTTCATGGTGGATTGGAATGTGGCGGGGGCGTTGGTGAGACCGAAAGGCATTACGAGAAACTCGTAGTGCCCGAAGCGGGAGCGGAAGGCGGTTTTGTGGGTGTCCTCATGGCGGATGCGGATCTGGTGGAAGCCACTGCGGAGGTCGATCTTGGTGAAGTATTTGGCTCCACGGAGGCGATCAAGAAGTTCGGATATACGGGGAAGCGGATACTTGTTCTTGATCGTGATCCGGTTCAAGGCGCGGTAGTCTGTGCACATGCGGAGTTCTGAGGTGTTGTTCTTCTTGACGAAGAGACAGCCGGTTCCGAAGGGGGAGGAGCTAGGCTTAATGAATCCTTTTTCAAGGAGTTCATTGAGCCTGGCGCTTCATTTCTTCGGCCTCGGGGACGGAGAGCTGGTACGGGGGGCGGCAAGGGGGGGAGTGGCCGGGCTCGAGATCGATGGTGTGGGAAACACCTCGATCGGGAGATAGTCCGGCGGGCAAGGATTCGGGAAACACGTCTTTGAATTCGGATAGGAGGGCGGAGATCTGAGGGTCGGAGGGGGGGTCTTGTTCGGGTTTGTCCGTTGGAAGCAAGTCCTCGGGACGGTCGCGGTCAATGACAAGGCAATAGTAGGCGGAGTCAGGGTGCTCACGGGTCATGTGAAGAAATTGGTGAGGAGAGACGGGGGAAGGGGTGGAGGGAGGGAGAAGGTAGGGGATGTCAAGGGGTGGAKCGGGGGGGTGGAGAGGCGGACGAAAGAGGGGTGGAAGGTATAGGGCATGTAGCAGTCGAGCCAAGGAGTCCCGAGTACGGTGTCGCACATGAGGTGCATGACATGGAAGGAGACCTGATTGCGAAGAGGGCCGACAGTCATTGTGCTCTCGGGGACTGTGCGGTCGAAGACGATGGCCGAGTCCTTATCCCCTAGGTGGATGGTGATCGGGGAATCATAGTCGGTGGAAAAGAGGCCGACTTTGCGGACACAGGGATCCGTGCCGGTGGCACCAATGTCGAGAAGGGCCCGAAACTTCACCGTCGATGCTCCAAAGGTGTCGCACATTAGGTGCATGACATGGAAGGAGACCTGACTGTGAAGAGGGCCGACAGTCATTGTGCTCTCGGGGACTGTGCGGTCGACGACGATGGCTGAGTCCTTATCCCCTAGGTGGATGGTGATCGGGGAATCATAGTCGGTGGAAGAGAGGCCGACTTTGCGGATACAGGCATCCGTGCCAGTGGCACCAATGTCGAGAAGGGCCCGGAACTTCACCGTCAATGCTCCAAAGGAGACGGCGACGAACTTGAGTTGGAACTGGGCGGTCCCAGCACAAACGGAGGAGATCATGACGTTGCGGGGGCGCTGCTCGAGGCCTAATCTCACAAGCCAAGTATGTCGGTCTTGTTCCTCAACGAGATCGGAGAAAGTGATGGTGGAGGGGTTGGGGAGGAGGGTAGTGGAACATGTGGCCGTGGGGTGCTCAGCCGACGGAATAGAGGACGTCGTCGGGAGGAGCGCAGGCGGAGTAGATTGCGACGCCTGGGGAGTGTCCGGTGTGAAAGTCGTCGCCGGGGGAGGGGTTGGCAGACGAATTGTTGGTGCCAGGACATGGCTACAAGGGGCGGGGGGACAGTGTTCAAGTGGAGGAGGGTCTAGAGGCCGCGGTGGAGGAGGAGGAAGTGGATGTGGGAGGGCTGGGTCCGGTGAGGCGGGAAGCCTGGTGGGTGGAGCGGCCGGCCTTGGGGCAATTGGTTTGCTGATGCCCCAGCTGGCGGCAATGGAAACAACCGTCGTTGGCCTGGAGGAAGGCGCGTTCGGCGGGGGTGAGCTTTTTGAGACGAGGGGGTTGGGGGGAGGAGGAAGGCTGGGAGGCCAGGCGTTGCCATTCCATCCTCATGAGATGGACAGCCTGGAAGTCTTCCTCGGTGAATTGGGCTGGGTCAAGGGACTCGGGGGAGGAGTCAAGGCCGACGTTGGAGGGGAGTGACGAGTCGTCGGAGGCCATGTTGTGGAAAAACCGGGTGCGGTTGGGGGCGGCTGGTCGTTGAGAGCGGAGGTGAGGAAGGCGATCATGGTGGAGAAGGCGGGTAAGGAGATCGGTGAGAGGGAGCTCGGGCTCATGGGCGAGGGCTGCGGCGAGGTGGGGGAAGCATACCCGCTTGATGCGGGAGATGAAGACGTAGTCGGGAATGAGAGTCGACGGGATGTGGAGGMGGAGGGAGSGAACGTATTGGATGAATCGCTCGKTGGGGCCGGTTTGGCGGAGGTTGCAAAATTGATCGATGTAGTCATCGATGGTCTTTTGCGGACGAAAGGTGGCGATGAGAAGGTCGGCCCATTGAAGGAAGGTGATGCGGGGAAGGCCGTTGGCTCGACGGTTGTTGGCTTCGGTTAACCACCATTGAGCGGCGGCGCCTTGGAGGTGGGAGGTTGCGGTGGGGAGCCAATGAGCGAGGGGCATGTTGTGGAGATCGAAGGCATTTTGAATTTGAGAGAGGAAAAGGAGGACGTCCTCGTGGGGGAGGCCGGAGAACGTCGCGATATCAGTGGCGCGGAAGGAGTGGGGAATGTCCCCGTTGTGGGGGACGATGCAAGCGAGGGTGTTGAAGCAGGTGTGATCCTGACTGCGGTCGTCGGGAGAGGTGTCGTAGCAGGTGTGATCCTGACTGTGGTCACCAAGGAGGTAGCAAGGAGGAGGTTGGGGTATGGCGGGGTAAACGCCCGAAAGGACTTGGGAGTAAGAGGGGTGGACAGAGGGGATGGTGGAAGTAGTGAGGATAGGTTGGGTGAGGGGGAAGGAGAGGCGAAGGGAAGTGGTTTGTGTAGTGGTGGAAGCGTTTGTAGTAGGTTGTGAGGAGGGGAGGGAAACGGGAAGGGAAGTGACGGGGGTGGAAGAAGGCGTGGTGGAGGACGGTGGGGGGGTGGTGTTGGAGGATGAGGCCTGGCCGGCTTGGCTGGCGGAGAGGCTTTGGCCAGATTGGCCGGAGGAGGAGGGGGGTGATGACGTCGTGACAACGGTGATGGCGGGTGTGTGGTTTTCGAGGGAGGTGACGCGATCGGATATGGAGGTCATGGAGGCCTCGATTTTGCGGAGCGAGGCGGAGAGTGCTTGAAACATGGAGAGGAGAGATGTGTTCTTCCCGGTGCCTGGCTGGTCGACAAGCTCACGGTGGATATCCTCGACGGAATCCATGCGGAGCGAGCCCATGTTGATGCTTGAGGTGCCTTCGGCCATGGGGAAGGACGAAGGTGGGGCGGAGGAAGAAGATGGAGTGGAGGGGACAACGGAGGTGGCAGCAGCGGCGGCAGCAGCGGCGTCGGCGGCGGCGTCGGCGGCGGCGCGTTGGGAGGTCTTGGATAGGCGGGGAGGCATGTGGGAGTGGTTTCTAATCCCGATTTAGAAAAATGATGGTTGATTTAAACCACCGCTCCCCCCCGCAGCCTAAAGTAGGGGGGACCGGTAGGGCGAATTTTGGAACAGGCGGCTGACCTACCGGTAGCAGGGACTGCCATGACCTGTGGAGGGGTCTGAAACGCGCCAGTATGTACAGCGCCCGTAAAAAAAGGAAGATTTTTTTTTTTTTTTTTTGAGAAGCATAAAAAAAAAAAAGAGAGAGAAAGAATTGTTTCTAAAAAAAAGAAGCATTTCGAAGTGGCAGCCCGCTGTTTCAGCAAGGTATGGCGACTTTCCAAGTTGGGGCCAGTCAGTTCAAAAACCTACAACGAGCACAAAAGAAGAACAATATGCCCATGCATCTATCCATTTTCTAGCAAAAAATTCAGGGCTTCGCTGCACTACTCTCCAAATGTGCAAAACGAGAGTGAATCTTCCGCAAGAATATGGAGAGATACACCGCCATGATTTTTGTTTTTAGTGCATGTCGAGAGTAGTGCAGCGAGGCCCTTTCGTTTGCTACTTCGTCTGACATCCCGCCGTGGCTGCGGGTGCCACAGTGTTTCGGGCCTCCACATGCACAGTAGACAAACCTCATGCCGGTATATCTTTCCATGTTCTAGTGGAAGATTCACTCTCGTTTTGCCCATGCCAAAAGTAGGCCACGGGATGATTCCCTCTTGTTTTTTTTTTTTTTGTTTGTTTGTTTTGTTTTTTTTTTTTCCGCTCTTGTTTTGGACAGGAGGGGTTCGTGGAGCGAAACCCGCACCGTTTCACGGTGGTACCCCGTCAGTCCTGCAGTCACCCAGGTAGGCCGAGTTTTAAAATTGAAATTGTGAACTCCTTTTCCTCTTTTTTTTTTTTTTTTTTTTCTTTTTTTTTTCTCCTTTGCCCTTGTGAAATTGGTCGCCGACCCCC